CTTTTTTTTTTTTTTTTTTTTTTTTTTTTAGAGATTTTCGCTATAGGGAGCGTGCACTCGCCAGACAGAGAGACAGAAAGCGAGAAATCACCTCCCAGGGGTGATGGTCACGCCGCAATCCCTTCTCCTCTGTTCTCCTCTCGGGATCTTGGGCACAGACGCACACACACCCGGCGTGAGTTTTAAGCCACCGGGTTCAGGATGTAAAACGTGGTCGACTACATGGGAGTCCAGCGACATAGCCATTACGCTAACTGCTGGTCCCCTTCTTTCTTTTAAGAGATATTTTTGCTTTAGGGCACATGTGCTTGCCAGAGACACAGAGAGGCAGAGAGAGAAAGTGAGAAATCACCCCCCAGGAGTGATGGCCACACTGCAGTCCCTTCTCTTCCACTGTCCTTCTAGGATACTGGGCACGCACACACACGTGCCTGGTGTGAGTTTCAAGCCACAGGGTCCAGGACTCAAACCACAGTCAAATCAGTGGGAGTCCAGCAGCTTAACCACTATGCCACCTCACTTGTCCCTCTTTCTTTTTTAAAAATTTGCTAGAGAGTGCTTGTGCTCTCAGAAGGAGGGAGGGGATATACCAGGGAAGGAGCAAGAAAGCACCCCCATGGGAGATGGTCAGACTGCAATCCCTTCTCCTCTATTGGTCCTTTCCAGATTTTTGGCACACACACACAAATGCCCAAAGTGTTTCTCAGGACCCCAGGTCTCAGACCATGCAGTTGGACACATGGCACCCGCACCCGCCTGCCTTAACCACCAGGCCATCAGTTGGTCTGCCTTTTTTTTTTAATGCCAGAAGATGCCTGTGCTTGGCAGAGAGAGACAGAGAGGAGAAAACACCCTCAATGGGGAATGGTCATGGGGAAATCCCTTCTCCATTTCTCCATCTTGTGGGGATTTGGGGTACACGTGCACAGACACCTGGTGTGTTTTTCAAGCGGATGCACTAAGATTCAAACCCTGGTGGACCATGTGGGGTCCAGCTCACTTAATCACTAGGCTAAGGAGCTGGCCTCCCCCTTTTTAAAAATGACTTATTTTACCTACATATTTCACATCAGTAGGGCATAGTAAGGTACACACATCAAGAGCTCAATAAATAATACATACTTGACAAATGCCTAGACAAATTAATGAACACCTGGGAAAATGAGTCAGCTTTCCACCACGCCCACCTCCCGGAAGAACTGCATTCCCCTGCACGCTTGTAGTAGAGCACGCCTTCTGAATGCAAAAGAGTGACAATTACTTCCTGGGCCCCTCGTCCACGTCCGCCTACAGACGCTGCAGTGTTTATGGGAAATGTAGTTCTTGCGCTCTATGGCCGGGTCCTTAACTAACTGAGCTCAAACTAAACTTCCCAGCAAGCCGCGCCCCGGCCTTGGAAGCGGGGCAAGATGGCGGACGCCGAAGATCTTGTTTTGCAGCCGGCAGTCGCTTCCTCTGCCCCAATTTCATTTGGTTTCACTCGCACGTCAGCCCGGAGGCGACTGGCAGACCTAGGAGATGGCGTGGGGCCGACACCAGAAGACAAAGATTTCTTGAAGACCGTGGAAGGAAGAGAACTGCAGAGGTGAAAAGCCGGGTTTTTCACTACTTGGAAATTCGCGGAGTGGGCACAAGTGGGAGAGCAGAATCTGAGTTATCTTGGTGACAGTGCTATGAAATACAGGCTGAGGACAATTGTGGAGGCGAGAAGGCGGGAGTTTGTAGGCAAGGTGGGGAAATTCGGTCTCACGGCCGTGGGGATTGAAAGGAGAGGATGTATTCCTGAGAGGGCGTGTCTCTTGGGAACATTGAGGTTTGTGCATATTCTGAGAGAGGGAAAGGAGAAGAGAGGAGAATGAGAGACTCCCTGGTGTCCCGACTGAAGTGGTGGGGCTTGTCCACTATGGGGAACCGGATGGAGCGGCCTATTCAAAACAGGAGAGTCCATTATTGGCTTCATTTGGAAATGAGAGTCGGAGGGGTCTGAGGAGGAACTTTAGAAATCACCCATCTAGGAGGCTCTTCTGGAGCCTGAGCTCGGTAGTCTGGGTAGAAGATGGTGGTTTCTGAGTCATTGTGGAAGTGGATCTTGGGATGAATAGAGGATCCAGGAATGATTCCTTGAAGACACTGGCATTTAAGAGTGGGGGGGTGGGGGCTGGGGGAGAGAATGCAAAGAATGCACCATCAGACATAGCAGGAGAGCTAGCTAGACAGGAGAATGGAAAACGTGGTCCATGGGGCTGGGAATGAGTTTGGCTTTTGTGTTTTCTCTGAATGAAGGAGTGTGGCTCAGAACGCCCTGACCCTACCACTCACCCAACTTCACTTCTCTGTGTCCACATCAGTGTGAAGCCCTCAGAAGCCCCCAAGGAGCTCGTTATTCCATTGATCCAGAATGGTTTTCGCAGGCAACCACCTGCCCAGCCCCCAGGACCATCCACACAAACTGAGCCCTTGGTGGATGGGATGCTGTCCCAGGCAGTGAAGGAGATAATTGAGGGTGAGTGACCATAGCCCTGCTCCCCAATAAAAGAAGGGAAAGAAGTTGGAATGATAGGGTGGGACCTCATTACTCCCTCCCATTCTTCCTTAGAATCCAAGAAGTCTCTGGAAGAGAGAGAGAATGCGGGTGTCAACCCCACGCTTGCTATCCCTATGATCCCGAAAGGATGCATTCCCAACAGGGAAGGGGAAGACAGCGAACCCCAGGCTGAGACAGTGAGCTGACCCCTTGTCCCCTTCTTGCCCCAGCTTCCCTTTGTCATCTTCCAGGCTGGCCTACCTACACACAGCAGGGAAAATCTGTGTGCTAGAGGCCTACTACCTGTTCCTTTCTCCTGCCATCCTTTTCGGAAGCATTAACAAATGAATTTAGATACTGAGGTCTGAAGAAAATACTTGGGGACCAGCCAGTGGCATGGTGCTTAAGGTGACTGGATCCCACATGGCTGATTGTACCTTTCTAGTCCTGAATCTGGTGGCTTGAGAAACATGCCAGGTGCATGTGCATGCATGTCCAAAAATCCCAAGAGGAGAATGGAGGAGAAGGGATTGTGGCATGGCCACCCTCCACACCCCCCAGGGGCATGCTTTTTTGCTTTCCCTCTATCTTTTTTTGTCTCTCTCTGGCAAGTGTACATACCCTATAGCAAATTTTTTTAAAAATAAAATACTTGGGGACCAGCAGATGGTGTAATGGTTACATCACTGGACTCTCATGTATTCGACTGCAGTTCGAACCCTAGACCCAGCAGCTTAAAACTCATGCCAGGTGCATGTGCGAGTGCCCAAAATCCCGAGAGGAGAATGGAGGAGAAGGGATTGTGGTATGGCTATCACCCCTGGTGGGGGTGTGATTTCTCACTTTCTGTCTCTCTGTCTCTCCAGTGAGCATATACCCTAAAGCAAAAATATCTCTCTCAAAAAAAAAAAAAAAAAGAAGGGCAAGCAGGTGGTATGGTGGTTAAAGGCACTGAACTCCGACATGGCCGACTGTGGTTCAAGTCCTGGACCTGGAAGCTCACTTCCCCCTACCCCCCTACCCCCGTCTTTCTCTGGTCAAATTAAAAACAACAATAAGAAGAAGAATAAGTAAAGTTAAAATAACAATAATTTTAAAAAAGAATTATTAAAAATAATAAAATACTTGGATCCTGGAGTTATCCAAATGAGATGTAGTGTAAACAGAATAGGAAATGTAAAGGCCATGATGGTAGAGATGGCCTAGAGTGATTAAGGAACACCAAAGAGACCAAAATGGCTGAGTGGAAGACGGAGGGAGAAGGGTAGTAGATAAAGTCAGAAAGGAGGCAGAGAGGGCTAGACCAGGCAGAGTCTTGTGGGCCATGGTGAAGACTTTGACTTTTACCCTGAGTGAAATAAGAGCCATGAGCAGGCCCTGAACAGAGAAGGGATATAATCTATGATTTGACAGGATCCCTCTATCTGCTGTGAGTAGAATAGACTACTAAGGAAAGGTGTAAGCAAGGGGATCAACAGTACAAAATAGAGATTATGGGGCCTTAGACAGAAGTGACAAGAGTGAGTCCTGGAAGGAGAGGTAGGGCTTAGTGAGAGGGAAGAGCAGAATGAGCATTCCCAGTGGCAGCAATGGCCCAAGCAATGACACAGTGGCAGAAAATTGGTGTGATTGTGTCTGTCACTGAGGCCACGTGTGGTCTGTCTGGAGCAAGTATAAAGGATTGAGGGAATGATGATATAAATGACAGGCCATGACAACAGGAGAGGTAAGAGGTGTGTCCACAGAAGTAACTGAGTCTGTCTTTTATGCCCACAGATATGACTTGTCATTTCTTTTTTTTTTTAAATTTTTTCTTTAACTATTTTATTTATCTTTATCCATTTATTTATTTATTTTTATTTGACCATAGAGGGACAGAGTGAGAGAGAAAGTGAGAAAGCAAGCTGCCAGGTCTGGTACTCGAACCAAGGTCAGCCATGTGGGAGTCCAGCACCTTTAACCACCATGCTACCCGCCGACCCCTGTCACTTCTTTATTCATGCTTTTTTTTTACACTGCTTCTTCAGGTTCTCCTGTATCCCCAGATAACCCTCCCTTTTGACTGAACTGTTCTTGTCAGGCCTTAGGTGTGCTTTTTCTCTTTTCTTTCTTTTTTTTTCTCAAAGGATTATTTATTTACTTAATTCTATTTGTTGTTATTATTTTTTAATTTGACGAGAGAGAGAAAGGGAAAGGAAGAAAGCAAGCCACCAGGTCCAGGATTTGAACTGCAGTCAGCCTTGTGGGAATCCAGCACCTTAAACCACCATGCCACCTGCCAGCCCCTGGTTTCTTTCATCTTAAGAAAAAAAAAAAAAGAACCTAACTTCATTCTTTAATCTTGTTCCAACTTTGGACTCATTTTTCTGATTTTCTCTCCTATAAAACTTCCCCCGTGGACCAGCCCCATAACCTACTGGTTAAGGGAGCCAAATCCCACAAGGCTGACTGTGGTTTGAGTGCTGGCCCTGGAAACTTGGGGAAAAAAACACACCGGGTGCATGTGTGTGTACCCCAAATCCTGACAGGATGGAGAAATGGAGGAAAAGGGATTATGGCATGTCTATCCCCATGGGGGATATTTTCTTCCTGTACATCTCTCTGTCTCTGTCTCTCTTTGGCAAGCATACACACCCACTGGCAAAATTAAAACAACAACAACAAACCACCTTCCACATTTTAACTGACCACAGTTCTATCCATCCTTTCTCTTACTTTCCTTAGCTTGAAAACCTTGGTGTCATCCTTGACTCCACTCTTTATTTCATACTCCACACGTAGTCAATCAACACAATCCTATCAACTCCCTTTTCAAAATACATCCAAAATCTGATTGCTTCTCGTCATTGCCACTGCTACCATACTGAGCTGAACCTTCAACATCCTTCACATGGACTACTGCAGGGACTTCTTTGCTCATCATGTTGGCTTCCATGATACTCTTCACATATACCAAGTCATGTCCTGCCTCAGGACCTTAGTTCTTGCTGTTCCCTCTGTTTGGACTACTCTTCTTCTCATATCCACCTAACTCCCTGTGTCATTTCCTGGTATCTGCGTAAATGTCTACTCAGTGATACTCCCTCTCCACCCTGCATCTGCACCCCCTTAACCTACTTTATTTCTCTTCATATAACTTACCACCATCCAACAGACCATGTTTTCTGCATTTTATTTATTGTGTGTCTTCACAACCACAGTGTCAGCCACACAAGGGCAGGAGTTTTGGTGTGTTTTACTCACTGCTTTATCTCCAGCACCTAGAATAGTACTTGTCACAGAATAAATGCTTGATATTTGTTGAAAGACTGAATGTGGAGGAGTAAAGTAAGAGGTCGTCAAAGGAAATGAAAACTCACTCTGAGCTGACTGAAAAAGAAGCATAGAGGGGTGATAGCAAGTATACTTCCAAACAGGGGCCTAGTAGAAATAAAGCTTGACTCTCCTTCCTCTGCCCAAACCTGTAGGTACCAGAGGAGGCTGATTATGAGGCAGTCCCTGTGGAGGCCTATGGGCTGGCCATGCTGCGGGGCATGGGCTGGAAACCTGGCGAGGGCATCGGCCGCACCTTCAATCAGTGAGTTCTGGGGTAGGCATGAGGGGCTAGGCAGATAAGGCTGTGAATATGACCCCTATAGGTCATGACTAGTCCAGAACCATCCAGGGAGGGAGGGAAGATACATTATCACGCTAACTGATTTAGTGGCCCTTTCCACTACTGTTTCAAACTCCTATTCATCCTTTGAGACTCCATAATAGATCCCATTTAAGTAAAGTTTGCCTCTCTGGATATCACTTTTCTTTTCCAAAAAATGGGTTTAACAGTATAGACTGAAATGAAATTATACACATAAAGCATGTATAGTAGGCCCTGGCCCCAAGGAAGCATAGTAAACATTTGCTATTCACACAGAGATTTACAATCCCTTCTTCAGAACTGCAACTCTGAAGAATTCTGAAAATCATCCTTTTTTCCCCAGAAGTCATTTGGCAGCTAAACATGACCCAAATTGGCATTGAACCTTTTCTAGTCTGTTTCTCCCGTTCAGGGTGAATAGTCACATGATGTCCCCACGAAAATATCAGTGTATTTGGTTATAGAGATGTGCCTCATATTCCACTGTAGACACTCTATAATAGATGGTATACACAGCATGTTATTAGGTTGAACCAAATGAAATTGCTATTTCTTTTGGGGAGGGGGAGAAGGGTTTTGTTTTGTTTTTGTTTTTTGGGTTTTTTTTTTTTTTTTTTTTTTTTTATGGGGGGTTTGGCCCCGCCACCCAGGGAGAGAGAGAGACAGAGAGACAGAAAGTGAGAAATCACCCCCCAGGGGGGATGGCCACGCCGCAATCCCTTCTCCTCCATTCTCCTCTCGGGATCTTAGGCATGCACGCACACGTGCTCGGTGTGAGTTTCAAGCCACTGGGTCCAGGACACGAACCGCAGTCGACTACAAGGGAGTCCAGTGACATAGCCATTACGCTAACTGCTGGTCCCTCGAAATTGCTATTTCTAAACGTCAAAAATAGTCCTAATACAAGATCTGAAAGGGGATTCTTGAAAACACTAATGAGGTAGGATTTAGATGGTAATGGGGGACAAGAATGAGGCATTAAAGATTGCTGCATTCCCCCACCCCAGCAAGCCCATATTTCTCCCTACAGAGTAGTAAAGCCACGCGTCAACTCACTGAGGCCCAAGGGGCTAGGGCTGGGTGCCAACCTGACCGAGACCCAGGCCTTGGCCCCCACCGGCTCCTCCCGTCTCTCAAAGCCAGATGGGGAGCCAGAGAAGGATAAGGAGGACCAGCCTCAGGGACTGGTGCCTGGAGGAACCGTGGTGGTCCTTTCTGGCCCTCATCGAGGCCTCTATGGGAAGGTAAGAAACCAAGATATCCCAGGAGCCCAAGACAGGCAGCAGAGAAGGTAGATTTGAGGGTCAGAGGAGGAATTAGATTTGGAGTCAAAAGGCTGGGATCCCTAGTCTTTCAGGCCTGCCTGACCCACTGCCTCACTATATGGCCCAGAACCATTTGTTGAACCTTTCTGGACCTCAGTTCCCAGCTA